AGTCTTGAACCGGCCGGGGTGTCCGGCGGTAGGATGGTCATGATACAGCTTCAGGACTGTAGGACAGAGGGAGTCAGGGGTATAGGCGCAGTTCTTGAAAAATAAGATGCCATCGGTGTATGTCCAATCGGATAATGCAGATTTCATGGGAGGGGCGCAGACTCCATTCAGCACTTCAAGCGCGGTATGAACGACAGTTTCAGAATCAGGATCACTTGCCTGTTTGAATTCATCCATGAGAGAGGTATTGAGGAGTTTTACAAATAGATCATTGGGTAGAAGGGTGACATGGTCATTGTCAGAACCATCAACATGATGGTCAGGGCGGTGGGATAGGGCATCAGGGGCGGCAAGCTTGGTACCAGGGACATGATGGAACTCGAGGTCAAACGAGGTCAGTGTTAGCTGCCAATGGGCTTGTCGTCTCGTCAGCTTCTGCGCGGAACGGAAATACAGCAAGTTCTTGTGATCAGTGAAGATGATGACCGGGTGTGGGTTTCCTTCAAGATAATGTCTCCATCCTTGAAGTGTGCGAATGACTGCAAGGAGTTCCCGGTCGTAGACTTGGTAATTTCATTCGGCCGGGTTAAGGGATTGTGACAAATATCCACATGGGTGATAATGTCCATTACTGTCCGTTTGCAGCAGGATTCCTCCGGTTGCGCATCCGGATGCATCTGTGGCAAGGGCGAATTGCCTGGTCGGGTTGGGGTTTCTGAGCACTGGTTTTGAAAGGAAACATTGTTTCAGCTTCCGGAATGCTGCATCACACAGTGGTGACCATTCGAATATTCTTGTTTTCTGCGTTAAATCGATCATAGGACATGCAATGTCGGAGTAATGAGCGATAAAGTGCCGGTAGAAGTTGCAAAATCCAAGGAAGGACCTGACTTCTTTGACCGATGTGGGGGTTTTCCAATCATTAATCCCAGCTAACTTAGCCGGGTCCATTGCTACTCGTCCGGGTCAGATGATCATTCCCAAGTACTTGACTTCTTGGGCGTCAAACGTGCATTTCTCTGGTTTCAGGAAGAGTGTCTCATTCCTGAGGATTTCCAGTATCCTCCTGGTCCGAGCTTGGTGTTCTGCAAGCGAATCGGAAAATATCAAGATGTCGTCCATGTAAACGATCATCCATCCTTCGTTGATCTGTTGTCTGAATGTCTGGTTCATGTAAGCTTGGAAGGTGGCGGGGGAATTGCATAAACCGAAGAACATGACTTTTGGCTCAAAGAGTCCAAAGGAGGTTGAGAATGCGGCTTTCCAGCGATCATCGGGGTGGATGAGGATATTATTGTATCCCGATTGGACGTCCATCTTGGTAAAATACTTCGCATTGTGAAGTGCGACGATGAGGGGTGGAATCAGGGGAAGTGGATAAGCGTTTTTGACAGTCCATTCATTTAGATACCTGTAGTCTTGACAGGGTTGAAGAGAACCCCCTTTCTTTCCTACAAAGAAGAAACCGCTTGCTTGGGGCGACTTCGATGGTTGTATGAAGTCATCAGGAAAACCTGTTTCTCTATATAGAGGACCATCCTCTATATAGCCCAGATAGCACACCATAGCCCTATACAGTCTATGGCCAGCTATCACAGTGCTATAGACCAGTATAGACATCATGAAAATCTATATATTACCATAAAGTTTGGTAAGCGTATTTAGAAGTAAAACAATTAAGTAAGAAGGTATCGCATTTATCTAATACATTATCAGAAGTCCAATCTATAGGAATTGTTGTTCCAAAGTTTGGAACAAGCTGACAAGTCTGTCTAATAGACGACAGTGGAATAACTTTACCTGGCAATGAGCCATCTGAGGAAAGTAAGTGTTTCTTGACCGTATACATTTCATGATAGTCTTCTGCTGCAGGTTTCAATGGAGCATACCACTCAACATATGCCAAAGGGTCTTTGGTCCATGCAGGTTGAATAGAACCATATACTTGTTGTGGCAGACGAAATATTACTTTCAACCTTCCAATACGAGTTCCTATAGTGTTAAAATTTTCATACAATCAATGATTATATATATACCAATATTACTCACCTGTTAAACCAGTAGATTCACAGTCAGGCTCATCCATTACTACAACTGTATCAAAGTGTCCAGCTTTATGAGAAATAGGTGGTTGTGCTTTGACAATATCCGCCTCCTCCATTTGATCAAAGTCAATGTCATTGCCTAATGAGTCTAGACAGAATTTGAATCCATGATAGATGTCGATATGACTGAAAGGAAGATCCATATCTCTGAGCTGTCCACGTGAATGAGAGTGAGCCAACTGAGTGTTAAGATAGGTGATGAGATCTTTCTTGAAGCCTTTGCAAGCATGATTCTGCATGACGTCCAAAATATTTTGGTGAACTCGATGAGGACATTTGGTGAGGATAACTCTGTGATCTCTAAACCTTGAGTGGGCAAACTCATCTTCTTCATCCTCCATAGACATCTTGAGATAGCTTTGAAATGATGCTACCTTTTCTCTTCTAGTTAGCCAAGATATCAATTGAGGCTTTTCGTTTCTTCCATTGGAAGCGTACCACCCCTCTTTACAAAAGTCAATATGAAACCTTTCAAACATCTCCGTGTTATAGTTATCGGTGGTTCCAAAGTTTCGGATGTTTTCCAGGTAGTGTTGCAGGGAATGGAATTTCGGAATGTTGAGATGGTCTCTGATACCCAGATTAATGATGACGTCCTTGTGAAGGTGAAAATCTTGTAAGGCCTGTTGCATATATTCCAGAGTGTTGTCGTCATGAGTGGGATATTGGGCAAGATAAATGAAATCAAGGAGGGCACGGTATGAGAGGATTACGCCTCTTGGAACCTTGCCAATCAAGCAAGCCAATAGCACCCTAGCCATATGTTTTCTCTCTTTTCCACCGACTTGACCCAAAGCAGACCAGCCCTTGTAGAAGTGGTGGACGCCATAACAAGGGGGGAGAGTTCTAAGTCTTCTATCCAATTCTTCTTCGTCCATAAGCTCCTGACACCACTCAACCATATGCTTGAATATGCCTTGATAGAGTTGATGAAGTACGTCAGATGTGATAGCCAAGTGAATATCGCAATGAGGGAAATCAAGCCAAAATGGTTTGAATACGCCTCCAGCTACATCCTGAGACATGCACTGTTTATGAAAGGCAGAGTCAGTCTTGGTGGAGATGTTGGCATGGTCAATGATGGCTGAGGTCCAAGGTTGAGTGCGTCTGGCAAAATTTTGTATTTCAGCCAATTCATCCGCTCTAGCCCTACACTTGGGACAAGTACCGTACTTGGTACAGGTAACCAAGCATTGCTCAGGATAATCCGCCACGTAGCAAGCTAGAATGGGAAAGACCAGGCGCACAAGACCATCTCCACCCACTACCTCTATTCCTCTTCTTCCTGTATCTTTCAGTGGTTCCAAAATAATTCTGATGGAGTCATGGAAGAGACATTGTACCCTGGAAGATACTTCTCTGGCAGATAGCTCCTCCTTTAGGATTTTATCCACGGATAAATACCCTATTAGAATACAGGCATGCTGACCGGATTTGCGTCGTATTGCTCTGGGTATATTGCCTAGCGTCAGATAGACCGGGTATGCTGATTTGGATGCAGAAAATCTTGTGAGCTGAGTTTTGTCGGTGGAGATAATTACAGGAGCTACAGATGCTCCTTCCAGAAGTCTGTCCTATAAAACATATGTTAGTTGTTAAAGAAGTGTAGTCAATATTGAGACGCTCACCTGGACTGCATGCCACCAATGCCCTGTCCACATTTCATTATATATGCATGTAGAATGAGAAGCATCTGTAAATATTTTTGAAGGCTTATAGACAATATCTTGAGCATGAGCAGGATTGCCCAGCAATGTCTGAATGGCTTCCAATGGATCTCGGTAGTGTAGTTCATGCTTATAGTCCGGCGTATCATTGAAGGCCAAGTAAGTTGATTGCCATTTAGCTCGAGGAGGGATGCTGTCTATGGTTTGATGGAGTCCTCTGATATTATAATATGCAAGTCCTAAACGCTCTCTAACCTATTTGCAAAATATCAGCCAAGATATTGATAGGAAATATATAAGTTGACATACACCAGGTATAGCAAACAACCTGTCAAATGCTTTGTGTCCTATTCCCTCTTGCACAGCCCAACACCCTACCTGCCAGTCCAGACGTGATGCAAAGGGGTAGAATAAATTACCATCTTCATCTTCATCAGAACAGTCTGATTCCGCCTCTTCTCCATCACCTGATCCAAATTGTGTCTGCCATTTAGCATGCACTGTCTCCTCCATTCGTATGACCCTCCCAGCAGTAGGATGAGTCTCTGTGACACGCGCATCTTCCTCCTCTGCTAAAGCGGTTCTATGCCTACTAGTAGAAGGACCGGCTATGGGCTCTCCCTGCTCCTGGTCTACGTCCATCATGTGCTGGTTATCGTAGTGCATTTCATGAACTAGAAATAAGGTAAGCACTTAACAAGAGAGCAATATTGCAACTTACTATCTGGCCCCAGAGGTATCAACTGAAATAAATCATCTTCCACCTCATCCACTATCCCATCTGGTAGTCCCTCCATACCTTCCTCATCCACCCTATCCAGCTCTCTTCCCTTCCCTAGCTTATGCCATTTACAACTTGCAGCATTGCGTAGATGAGAATTCAGTCCTTGTGTAGTACCGAATGTGCGAATGCAGCCTGGAGCAGGGCATTTATAAGATGTTGAACCCTCAGCAAGAACACGCCTGCTGTGCACCATTTGATGGAAAACAAGAGAATGCAGAAAGAGTCTTAGGAGGAGCGTCTATGCAAGCGTCTACTGCAATGAAAGTTGTCAAAATATTGCGCCAAAAATACAATTGCAATAAGTATAGCATGTTACATATGATACAAAGCTTATGCAAAGGCTAAATGACTTGTAAACTGTACAACACGTATGATGGGTTGTCCTTTGAAATCATAAAAATAAAGTCTGATAGTCTGACCATGCACGCTTCGCAAATCATGGACCTAAGATGCCCATTCCTTCCGAAGTTCCTTCAGCACCACAGGCGCGGCCATTACATTAAGTGCGATCCGCTGTCTTCCACCGGTGCCTTTCAGGTACTGTGACGAGTTACCAGGCGTGAGCTTGCATTCTTGGACTGGGGGACAGGGCATGCGAGCAAAGAGATTGAGATCGGCATTTTGACGATCCTTGTGGTACAACAAATTCATGCGCAAGGCAGGGAGCATCTGTGAGCGTTTGGCAAATCCACCACCGCCTACCGCCCTGGCCCACTCGTTGGTCATCTGTTGAGGCTGGCAGAGATGGGCCAATGTACGATCAGTATGGAGCTTGAAGAGTGCAGTGTTGATGATGTCGAGCATGCGGGAGTGCTTGGTGCGCTTTCAATGAAGAGGATCGTCCTCATCTCCTTCAACATCATCCTGACAGGCTCATTTGCCCAGTCGTTACCCAACACTCCGTCCACCATACCGAACCCTGCATCAGTAGCCGGATAGTGTTGTTTTTCTACCGCTTCATGCCAGATCTCCTTCTCTATGGTGTTCTCAAGCCAACGATGGACCCACATCTCCCCTCCGCTAGCTGTATCGGGGTGTGGAACTTTCTTCAATCCGTACGGTGCATCAAACATGAATGCGAGGGTGAGGAGCACATAATAATAACCTTCCAGATCATGTGCGATTTCACGTCGGATGTTATCTTGGCCTGGTTGTTGTGCGAACATCATCTGGATGGCCATCCAAGCTCGAGTGCCCTGTACATATGATGCGATGAGCAGGAGGGCAAAGACAATGATTAATACTTACTGTCAGCTCATAAATGCCACCCTTTTCCTTGAATCGTTCTAAGTCATCGTCGATATTCAAAGAGCTGTAGCCAGCAACGTCGACTTGAAGACTTTGGACAACGTGCTTGGGCTTGATGTTCACCTTCGGTACGTGATGAAGGGGAGCTTGTCGTTTGGATGGACCGTCAGCCGGCTTGCCTTGAGAAATGCTATCAAAACCGCGCTTGCATGTAGCAGCAGAGGAATCGGGAGGGGCATTGACAGCACCAGGGGTACTTTTTCTCCCATCTGTGCCCTTTCGTCCTCCTTGTTTGCCTTTGCCTTTACCCATCCCACGTCTTCCACGTGAAGGTGCAGTTGAAGCTGGTTGAGAAGGGATCATGGAAGTTGGGGGTGCAGAAGGGATTATTGACATTGAAGGTGCGTCCGAATGTGGGATGGGGGGAGACGTTTGTTGGTGCGGCTGGTGCACAAGAAGCTGAAGGAGCGGCAGAAGTATCGGTAGAAGTACCAGAGGCAGAATTGCATGGGGCGAGAGTATGAGAAACCGAAGCATGAGCAGGAGAATGTGCAGGATGGTGAACCAGAGAATCGTCAAAGTGAAGGGCTTCGTCTTGGGAGGACAGCGTTAAAGCGGTGCCAGCATGCTTGGCAAAGATCTTTGATGGGGGTCTTCCTCTCATAGATGTGCTTCGCGTATTCCAGGAGGCAAATGCATGATCGTACAACAGGCCGCGTCGAATATTGCTTGGATCAATTCTGGTATGATCAATGTAACCCCAGTCTGACATCGCTGGACGAACAAGTCCCATGTTCCACATGGATGTGTCAGCTTGCATAAAGGAGATGGGAAATAATTCGTCGGTCTCATTGCCACCCTCTGAGATGATGTAGGGCGAAAATGCCTGGCCATGTGCTGCGATTGTATTCAGTTTACAAAAAAATATATTAAAAAGATTAAATCTTACATCGGATGCAATCCGCAATCGCAACTAATGCCTCATAGACACAGCTGAATTCGTATATGGGTGCGCAAAATGGATATAACCAAGATCGGGTGAGCATCCGCTCCTGGTAAACTTCACGAGTCACAGGTTCCAGCTTTGGTACGGTGACGCCTTCAGGCACAGGATGGCTGTGATCATATTTGTTGACGCTCCTAGCCATGCTCTTGTGTGCCAAGGCCAGTGTTGGAACACCCCAAAAAGACCGGTTGTAGACAGTGCTGCTCCAGACATTGATGTCACCAGTCTGAGATATGGCGCCGATATCCTTCAGTGAACCGATGCCCAGACGATCGTGAAGTTGAAAGAGTGGAGGTGGGTGAAGCAGGGCCAACAACAAGTCCCTCAAAGAGCAAACACGTAACACCCTGGACGCCTTTCAGTCGAAGGTAGTTGAGAATCATCCCTTCTGTGTGTGGTGCGGTGAGATCAACCCAGGTATCTTTCACCACCACATCCACCTCCTTCTCCATTCCCTTGAGCCATTTCTCCATGGCGCCCCAAGACCCACTTGATTGCAATGCCTGCGGCAATGCGCTCATGTGACAGCGTGACATGACGGGCCACGGTCCCGTGTCCGTGAATATTATTGCTGATGAACAGTACCATATTGATTGGCACCTCGGGACCGAAAACTCTTGATCGTATAAATCACCCAGCTTCGTTCTGCATGATGGATGTCTCCAGACCCACCATACCTATCGCATAACATTGTGAGCTAATTACTGTATGAGTGTGATTGAAAAGACATACCAGGATCAGCCAGCAATAAGTATAAAACAAGCCGAAGGAATTCCTCCGTATTGTCCATGATGTTTAGCATATCAAGGCAAACAGCGCCTCCGTGATCAAAAAATGCAAACGTAAACGCTTCGCCCACGAACATCAAGATGATGACAAAGTTGCAAGCATCCTGACAAACCCCAGATCGTGTTAGCTCGCTTTGCCATCTCATCAAACCACTCCGGTTTATCCACGTCAACACGTGCTGCTTCATCTCAGCTAGCGTGAAGACACAACACCAGTCCTGAACAAGAGGGTCGCTGGGCAGTAGTATGATATCCGGTTTGCGTTCTTCAGCAGACCCAGGAAGAGGTTTCTGACAATATTCCGAACTCCAAATCCGCTTAATCTTTGAATCGCCTGCTAGCAAAAGCGCCTCTTCGACTGAACAATTCATAAACTTGGTCATACGATCTTCTGTGCTGGACCCGCCACCTTGTTGGCGATTAAAGTGAGGTGCTTTCAAGTCAGGACAATCTATTTTATCTGTCCAACCTAGCTAATAGATGAGAATAGACAAGCATCAAAGCATCAAATCTCGCACCTTGATCATTCAAATACCCCTTTTCTTTAAACCTCTGCAGAAACACCCTTCACGCTCTGGAGCTTGGTAGGATCACCTAGATTTTTGATGTGTTGGAAAATAACATCATCATGACAGAGCCAGTTGATGACGTCTCGTGCGATGGCCTTGTTGTCTTCCATTTGTGTCGCAACAAATCCTTCAGAGGCCCAAGAGGAATCCAAGGGCTGCGAGAGTTGGGAGGACATAGAGGCCTGAAGGTGTTGCAAGGGCTGTGGGTGCTGCGAGGGCTCTAGAAATGCCCTGAGATTGCGAGCTTGTTCGACTACTGCTCTTTGATATCCCTCGTCGGTCTTAGCAACAAGACCACTGGATTGAACCTCCAAAAATAAACAGGTCAGCCATCGCGCCATATAGAGAGGAAAGTCTCTCACCATGTTATAACTTCGGTGTTCCAGATGAATAAAGTCTGGTGTAGCCATTGTTGAAGTGGTTGGTATAGGAATGGAAAAAAGATGGTTGGTGGCAAGCGGAGGTCGTGCGGATAAGGGTTGGCAGCGAAGACACAGGGTTATCGATGAAAGAAATAAAAGACAAGGTCAATACAAGGGATTACAATAGAAGCACTGACTTACCTTGATATTTTCTCCGAATTAGCTCCAGACCGCCGCCATCGATGGGCTACAGTCATCTGTCTGCCCTTATTTATGTCCGCTATGCAAAAAGTTGTGACGTGTGGAGCAGGAATGAGTATGATTGGTGGAGAGCTCTGATTGGTGGAGAGCCCTCTGATTGCAGTGAACTCGCAATCATAACCCTAGACTAGGGTTATTGTTTGGGCGAAATGGTTGAATTATGTTACTGTACACGTTCTCAAGATCAGCTTCTTGGTATTTCATAGCTGCATGCATGGAAACGTACCATGGAATGTTGTGAAGTCGTACCGATTGGTAAAGTAAATGCTCTGAGGTAGCAAGTTCAGATAAGTTGAAAAATGTTAAGGAAGCGGAAAGTCACGGACAACGGTCAAACTTGGTGGTCATGTGACTGATACAAACAACACATCAACAACGACTTTGATGAAATTCTTCTATCGTCTGGCTCATATCCTCTACCTACTTGTATTTCACTGGGCCTTTTGGCTTTGCTCAGGATGACGTGGAGGTGTTCAACGGTGTTTTCATCTTTGACCACGGCTGTCCAAAAGTAAGTTTTGTTCTTTTCCCAGCGCACTTCTCTCTTCTCGCATTTGCGACTGAAGTCTCACGTACTCGTTGCAGTTCTCTGCCAGCCCTGCACATCATGTCTTCCCCTCCTGACCCTGGTATCTATCGATGCGACTCTACTGTTCCTCAGCGCCAAACACATCCCAGCGCCCTTCCTCTTCTCGCATTCGCGATCGAAGTCTCACATCCTTGTCGCAGTTCTCTGCCAGCCTGCATTATGTCTTCCCCTCCTGACCCTGGTGTATCTAATGATGCGACTCTACTCCTCCCTCAGCGTTGAACACCTCCCAGCGCGCTTCAGCCCTCCTGGATTAACAAACACCGCCACTGGCTTCCACAATCCTACAAAAATGCACAGACAGGGTGTTCAGGCACCACGACCACAAATTTGAGTGGACAATTGAGGAGTTTAGGAGTGGTGCGAGGGTGTTGTGCAGGAATGGGGATAAGATGTGGATATGACAGGAGGAGGCGGACCGGTAGTTAAACTTTGTAATTGCCAAGTGCAATGTGATGAGCGCTGATTGGTGGAGAGCTCTCTGATTGCAACCAACTCGCAATT